TGCGTCCTGTTCTGCTGCTCAACAGCTCTGCTAAGTCGGCCAGTGTGAAGGAGCACTTCCTAGTATCATTGAATTTATTAAATTCAATGCTAGTATTTACTTTGAATTTTGCAAGTATAAGCATATGCTTCCTTTTATTCATACAGGCCAATGAATGTTGAAGCAAATGCTCTGATAAGATTAAAAGTAAATTCCTACAGTTTTGGCAAAGCAATAAATAAATTGCCTATAACCAAAGCCTCGCAGTTAGAATAATCTTATATACAGGGCGTGGCCGTGTGGGTGGCTTCTTTTATGATTTAAGTTCATCTGAACATACAGAGATCCGCAAACGTGTTAAAATTTCAAGAGTTTTAAGTTTTGTTGAGATAGTTTGCTTCTATTATCAGGATAATTTTTCTTTATAGTCAATTACTAGCTCCCCTAATTATTTTAGAGCAAAAGTCTAAATAAGTTTTTTTAGAAAAAATACTGAATCTGTTCATGCTATTACTCATATTTTCCGTTTTTCAAAACCGTAGAAATCGACAAAATAAAATAAGGTTCATTTTACAATAAATCAAATATGCCTTGGAATTTCCCAAAAAAAAACAGCGATCACGTTTCATTATTTGCCTTTTACGTATATTAAATTTATACTTGTTTACAAATTAGTTAAAGAACTGCAAGTGAAATAACGTTCAAGATGTCCGTCAAAACCATCAGGAAAACGACAATACATTCAACGTTTTGGCTGCAGTAGCGGAAAATCCGAATATAAGTTTAGGAATAAATCTGCTTCAAATCAGTTTTTTTTTCTTCGATTATGTAGGTACTCTGATTCTCTCTTATAAACAAATAGTATCTGATTCAGATGCAGCATACATTCTCTAAAAAAACTACCCAATTGCCGCTTTTTCTTGCATCGGATAGTTGTAACAGAATTAAATATGAAAATCGTTCGACATCAAATAACGATAACTTAGATGCGATGTACTTGTAGTTTGTTAAAAGATTCCAAAGCATCACTGATTTATAAAAATGTAATTTTTTATTTTGTCGATTTCTACGGTTTTGAAAAATGGAAAATTATAACTAAAAGTATGAACAGATGCAGTATTTTTTTCTCCAAAAAAAAACGTATTTAGACTTTTGCTCTAAAATAATTAGGGGAGCTAGTAATTGACATATAAAGAAATTACCATGGAAATCCCTATGCTGCGTTGCGCTAGGCACCACCCTGTATACCACATGTAACAAGCCAATTATAAAGTATGTCATTTAAAGGAACCACCAATGAATTATTTTGACATTTTTGTCAGCGCCTACTACACCAAAATGTTATAAATTTAATAAACAGCCTTTTTCTGACTTAAATTTAAATAATAAAGAATTTTTAATACTTGGATGTAGTTACGCGTTGACAAAATGACAAAATAATTCATTGCTAGTTCCTTTAAATGACCTAATAAAGAATCATATTGTGCCATACATCAGTGTAGTCTTAATAAAAATGCTACTCAATACAAAGTATGTACTTTTTTCCGGTACATATAAAAATACGAAGTTGATGATGGTTTCTCATAAACGAAATGTCGCAATGAAAATTTGTGGGCACCATATTGTAGAGTTTAAAAAGTTCATATGAGGCAGTGCTAGATGTTTTTGATATCTTTTTAAACAGGGAAAAAATGTTTACAACAATTTAAATTGAAATGGTCATCTCATTCTGCCTTTTGGTTAACCTAATTTCTAAGATCTGAAAATAAGCCTTTAAATTTGTCAAATTGTTGTATTGAGATTGTGTAATAAAATTTAAATTCTTGAACAAAACGAATTCTGAATCTACACCAAATTCAATAGTCTCTTCATTTGACACATTACTGTTTAATGTTTATTTCAGATATTAAAAATTTTCGGCGATTTCGTTTTCAGCGCATTTTTGAAATACGCTATTATATTCGTTATGACTGGCCATCTCGCTGGTAGGCTGGTTGTCCGGCTGAGATCTCAGCAATTACAATAGCTAGAGATTTCCAATTTTCACTAAAAGCTTTCTGCTATAGTGTAGATTTGCAGGCTCTAGTCTACTTTGAGGTAGATTACCTACTCGCTAATAAAAGTCTAATCTGTATTACCAAAAATCATTATGGACATGCTGATTTACAACTTGTTTACATTAGGATTTTGAAGGTATCCAATAATTACTTACTTATACAGCTTAGACAAAATAAATACAACTAACCCTGAACTACAAGTCTTCTCGTCCTTAGTATTTAGTGACAGCTGAGTGGTTGCAATACATACTCAGATTATCAGACGTTTTCATTCAAGCAAATGCATTTGGAAACTTGCCGATTCTTCGGGTAATATTGGGCTTCAAAGAGAATTTTTTCTTGATTACGATATGGCTCATTTATGGTGGTTGATTTCACTTGTAAGTGAAAATAAACTTTCATTTGGGGACATATAAATATGTTTTTTTTACTGATAATACTATTTACTATTCCGTGCAACCCTTCAGTAAGCACTAGCTCCAAATAGTGAGACCTCCAACAATGGGACCCATTGAACTGAGTTTATTTTTGAAAATATCGACAGTTTCAGTTACAATTTTTCCACCTTTAAGTACGATTTAATTAAATGTCTCGCGAGAGTTTGCCACGAAACCGACGCAGTTTTTCTTTAACGTGTAATGAGAAATTCGCTCACTCTATACATTTGTTTAAAACGCAACTTCTCGGTACGAAAACTTGACTTCACTCAAACCGCCTTTGGTGTTAAAAACTATATAAGCGCCCAACTAAATTTAAACTTTCCACCGAGAATGGGGGTTTACAGTATAGTTGAATTCCGTAGTTCTAATTTAATAAGCGTGTACCTGAAACCATAAAACATTTTTTGGACAGTAAAAGTTTGTTTAAAAATAGAGGCTGATTAGCAAAAAAATAATGAACATCTGCGGTTTTAAAGGTTTATTCAAAACGATATGATTGTGGCGGGCTCTGTGACGTAATAAGCCCGACCAATCAGCTCCTAGAACCATTCAGATGACATAACGACTTGGCAATAATGCAGAAGAATGGCATTTATAACTTGCGTCATCTGTCACAGGCACTTGTCACTTTCGTGCTAGATGCGGTTAAACATCTCTCTCAAAACGTCAAATGTGACAAACGTCAGACCCTCGCGTAAGGTTGCCAGCTCACTTCTACGTGATTGGTTGTAGGTTTGTGACGTATTTAGTCTGAAGCGTTTCAAATTCGGACTAAAAACACAGCTTTTCAATAATTTATTTTGGGTTTATTTTACTTTCAAATAAAAATTGAGGACACACGGGTCTTTTTATTTTTAATGTACTTTGTGGATCAGAAATAAAAAATGAAGGCGGGATGAGCCCATTGTTACAAACTGACTTGAGATCTCTCCTTGTTAGCTGAGATACTCAATCTGTTAATTATTTTCTCTAAATGATCCCCTATTTAATTATTGAGTAGATTTTCACACCTACAATCGCAAATTATCCTTTCATATGGCGATTCCTAATTGTTTATTGATTCACATCTTTCTTTCACCCAATTACGAATGGCTTTTAGGGTGGTAGCTTAATTAAAAAAATTCAACATTGGCAAGTTCTCATGAGGTTAAGATGACCTAATGCTGGGTAGCAAATGCAATACAAAAAGCCTCATTAACCTTCGATCGTTAAGAACAGAGACCTATTTTAAAGTCGGACTACGCCAACACGGATGTACCAAACACCACTCATGACTCCAATCAAACAAATTGGAAGTTGCACACCAACACGCGACGCGACGTTTGCGAAAATATTCTAGAACCGTGAAATTTGTTTACACCTTAAAAATTCCACTTTACTTCTTTTTGTGTAAAAATCGAAAAATAAAATCCTACCCTCATTCATCTAAGACGGCTATGCGACTATGGAATCGTAATTGACATGTGGCATACGCATGAACATTATGTCCTAAATAATGCCCACTATCTTCATCTAAGAAAATTCGTAGCAAAAGTTTTGGGTTTGATGCGAAGTTTGGGACCCTACAATTTTGCTCATACCCTACTGGTATGAGTAGATATGAATCTTAACTAGAGTCCGAAATTTAGCCCAAATAGGCACTACCTCCTTTTCACGAACTATAGGTACCTATTTTACAAGAAAACATGGAAACTGATAAATCAAGAAGAAGAAATGTATTTATGAAAGTTGGTAAACACATAAAGGGGAAAATATAGGACAGTGGAGAAAAATAGATACCTAGTATTGGAGGAAACATTTTATAGGTGTCCTAAGAAAAACAGAAGAAAGAGGAAGAGATGTCAAGCAAAGACATCTAGCGACAATTAAAGAGCGTCAAGAGGGAGGAGGCGAAAGGGAAGGATGATGATACGCCGCAGGTCTAACCAAGAAAAAATTGAGAAGACTAATAAACAGGATATGGAAGAGATTTGGGAAGGGAGCGAAGAGGTAAAAAGAAATGGAAAAGAAAGGGATGAAGAAAGTGAGAAAATTTAAATATCTGAGATTCCATACGCAAAAAAATCAAAGGAACAAACGCACAAATAAGAAAATTTAAAAAAGGGAGAAGTGGCGATGCTGCGATGCGATAGCCGATGCGTGTATAAAATTTCATGGAATGACGTCAAATAAATAAAAACGTTAGATGATTAGAAGAAAAGGACAAATTTTAACGATTTCGTAAAGGTTCTCTTCAAAATTTGCGTTGAAGTCGACTATCTTGACTTTCACAGTTTTAAAGCCTTTTTCGACAGATCTAATAGGAAATTTTATGCTCAGAAATATTATAGTTTTATGATCGTTTCGCGTTTAATGATTATTGATGATTCCTAAGCAAATGATTCTGGTGTTCCTACAATGCATTTCTCTGCTGTTACTTACAATTGGAAATATACCTTAAAGTAAATTTACTTGGTTCTATTTTATTAGATCAGTCTAAGTGCGAACAAGGACATTTAAAAGAATTAATCGTATTATTACTTACAAAACGCGTAAAATCCTCTTGTACGTAAAGCAGAAAAAACAAATTATAATCACAGTAAATTTATTAAAACCCGCGCGAAAGCACTTAATAATTCGCCCGACATCAATCAGCTTGTGGGCGTTTGCGGGTGGTTATTCAAACAAACTGTTAAAACACTACCATGATGAATGACCGATCACCCCCAACCCCGTCATGAGTAGGTATCCCGCTTGCCCTTCCGATCGAACTTGTCATGTGTAATTATTGGCGATACATTATAAGATCAGTAGGGACTTGCTTTTTTTTGCACCTCATACCGAGTTACACCCCGATCGGTGTACACCAATTTTAGCACAATTTAAATTAACACCGACGATTGAAGTTCACGCAATGTAATTGAGTAGGTAGCTTTTGACTAAAATTCTTTTTTTCGAATTTACTGTAATAACACAAGAAGTACAACGTGTTATTTTTATTTTAATTAAAGGGCGCTATCCATTTTTTCTTTTCATTCAAAGGTTACAATGGAAATTAAACCAATTACACCTTGTTTGATTCACTTACAGAATGTGTTATCGAATCCATGCGATTTTTAATGAGTGAAATATTTCATAATTAGGTAAATCAATTCAAACCATTGTTCACATTTGCCGAAGGACGAATCTCATCTGTAATATCTGAAATCAATGGATCAGCTCAGTTCAATCTCTAAATTAATAGACTTCTAAAAGCCAATTAATACTGGATACAATATTCCTCGCTCAAAAGGACAACGCAATTTGAATTGTAAGGCAAAATGGCTTAGCCTTAGTGCACTGGTTAAGATAGTAAAATACTTTCGTTTGAGACGATAAGTCTTCAATAAACATTGAGTTTCTCGTCGATTTATTTATTCATACGGTGAATATAAAAAAATTCATAAAGTTTTTTCCAATTCATGATGCTGCTGCACTAGTTCAACAAAAGAGACTTATGTAAAGAAAATTTAAGAATTGCCTTTTGTCTTCCACTAAAAGTTCGAATTTAATTAAATGCATTGGCGTATACGGACCGCCGGAGAAGGTGGCCATAATATGCTTCCAACATGAGTTGGAAAATACGTTAAAAAGAGCTTATGGTTTCACTAACTGTCACTTGGGCGCCTTTTATAAATCACTTGAGATCTCAGCAGCGGAATGGCTTAGTATGAAAGTTCGCGGCCACGTGGGTTGTTGCCGAAAGATGTCAAACTATTCGTAAAAAAATTTCCAAACGCAATAATCTCAATGTCCTTTTTCGTTGGGAAGAATCTGGACACAACAAATTTCGTGGAATCTCTCCATTTTCGTTGTCCGGCCAAGAATTGCAGTGAATTTATTTCATTAATTTTCAAAAACTAATATCGGATTCGTGATTTTCATGTTCAAAAACCTCCAGATAGGTACCAAATTTTGTCTAAATCAGAATTGTTTTCGCACCCCCATTTAGGGGAGCGCCCTTACGTAGCAGGAATTTTCAAATTTTTTTACAAAATCGGAGAGGGCATATCCAAAAACCTATTCAAAGACCTGCCACCAGTCTTCCTAACTCTTATGGCTACTGGAAAAAATTAAAGAACTGCAAATTTCGTCACTTTTTTTAGGGTGGCTCTCCAACGAAACACAATGGACCTTCGGTTTATTTGGAAAAAGTGCTTGTTTTGATCCCCTCTAGGTATACAAATGTTAACATTCATATGTCATCTTGAATTTTATTTTGACATCATTTTCCGGTTTGTCCTGTCAAAGCTTCATATTAAAACTTTCCCCACAATTATCTTAATGTAGGGCTCCAGTTTTATATATTTGGAATTATGGAAAGGTACGAAAGTAGTACAAGTATCAAAATTTATCTTTCACAGGGTATCGATTTCGAATGGAATTAATATCTACCTCCTCCTCCACAATTTATCATTATCGGTTATACTTCGATCCCCATATCTCGAGACAAGAGTGTCGTAGAAGGGTACTCATAAATGGCGGGTGGAACGTCTGGACGTCACACATATATTGATGATGTGAAATGAGTCATAATTATCAGAAAATTCTAGTAGAGGCAAATATTTTACTGGAGGCCTTTTGAGCCCTTCATTATTATTAAGGCGAGTGAATTGAGTCATTTGGGCTTAATTTAGAAAAAATAAATTGGAGGCGCTTTAAAAATCATTAACCCAGCCGACTTCACGTAGCCGTGAACCTTTTCAGTTAAATTTCTTTTTATGTAGAAATTAACGGCTAATTATGCATCTTCGTACACCATTGGAATAACATTTTGAGCACTAATAAAAACCGAGTTACCTATTTCGGTGGGTGCAATTTAACGTATAGTCGCCGATTTTCACACGAATGATTTTTCTCTTATAGGTATAGAAAATTGAAAATAGAAACGGTGGACGGTATTACAGAGAAATTTTGATCCGTGGTAAATCTATTACAAAAATTAGATAAATGTATTTACGAAAAAGGCAGAGACTACGTACGTTTGATCGTGATCCGTGTCACACAATGTGTTTGAATAAACGCCCAATTAATTGATTGACAATGACAACATTTTATTCAGTAACACATTAAACACCATTAAACAAAATTCCTGAAAGAAAGGGAAGTTTGCCCAGCTGTTTGGACAAATTACCCCGCACGCAGACGTTTGGCAAAAAAATAACAAAATTTTAAAATGACATTTTTTTCTTTTTTAGTAATCCTAATAATTTGGTCGTTCAACGGTTGGCGATAAACAAGGCGTACTTGACCCTACACTCAAACCCTAGCAGCTTCTGAACTTTTCTTTAGCACACCAATCTTGATGACAAACAATTCATTCTAAAAACAACGAAATTAAGAAGAAATTGTAAAAAAGCAGAAACGTTCGGAAAACTTAAATTAAAAATCGAAAAAATTAAAAAACTCCACAAGACATCCTTGAGAAAATGGGTTGAAAAGTAGCCCAAAACATAGTGGAGTAATAACCTTTATTTATTGGTGGAAAGCGCCATGCCATTTTTCGGTGTCTAGGCACATTCTTCCAAAACAACGTATAGGCACAGATAAATTGGGTATTTTATCTGTGGTATAGGGTAGGTATCCCAAATTCAAAGGCGATAAGATCTCGGACAGGGTAAGAGATAACAGATCAGAAAAAAACGGGCAAATCTACACTGCTTAGAAAGTAAAATTCTGAACACTTTTGGAAATATTGGAATATATCCGAAATGCACCAATTTATGTTTTTTTTGTAACTTTATGTTAAAAGATTTTTGAAAACAAATGACACTTTTATTGCAACTGTTTCTCACAACAAGTCGACATGACTGATTTTAAGTCCAACGTTTCTTTTTTTGGAACTGCATAAACTCTTACAGTTAGAGTTTATTATGGGTCAGTTTATATATTCATTTTTGTATATATATTTATCCGTTAGTGCCTGTATTATTAATTTTACCTATGTTAACGGTAAAACAGAATGATGACTATTATTTTGTTCACCTATAATATAATAACATACAAAGTAGGAAACATAGTCTATATCTTCATGTATACCATACCTATTCTTTATCTCCAATTCAACCATTTTTCTTTGTCTTGTTTCAGTAAAACGTACAAAACGGGTATGCTAATGATGAGAAGAGAACATTTTGGTCATTTCTGTTATTCGATTTTGATGTTCGTAATCCAAAAGTAAGTAGCCAAGAATGGATGAATGCCTAGCTCAGATGGCATTATCAGAATCTTTGCCAAATCGAGTGTAGGTAGCGAATAGGTCATTTTTAACATCTGCGTACCTATACTTATTGATTTATTATGCAATAGGCAATAATGTAACGAGAAGTAAAACACAAACTTCATTAATTAAGAATTAGATGAAGAAAAACAAGACGAATGAAAAATAAGGCCTAATGAACGAAAATAAGGCACTTATGGCGGAAATTGTGTAGGCGTCACGATTTCACCCTTCGTTAAGGGGTGAAAACATCCCTAGCAACCAATGAAAACGTAGAAAACAGTTTTGAATTGCCAAAGGTCCGTGAGAGTTTAAATGTCAAAAGTCTTGCCTATAAAATACCTAAGTCTACGTGTTTATAAAATCTCATTAACATTTCGCGCACAACGCGCAAATCCAATTCTGCACAAAAAGAAAGGTTTTTGGTGAAATACCTTCGCTAGTATTAGATTACATTCGGTTTGGTCGTTACTAACAAGATATCACTTTTCACTGCGGTTTCTTCTACCTAAATTTCTAAATTATGCTTCAAGTTTTTCTCACGAAATTGTAGGGGCAATCGATTAGCGATTTAAAAACGACCAAAAAATACACGGTGAAATTTTCATTTCTCAGCTGTGCCTTATTGATGGGAACCGTTTCAGGATTTAAGCATGAGATACTTTTTAACGTCAATATCAAACACTACACGCTGGTTCGATGATATCAAATTTCTTAACTTCCCGTGGTTGATCGCCATCGATACTTATGGTAAAACACCCTCTCCCTTACATATCTACTCGCTAACCACCTGACTAAATAACTTAATACCAGTAATGAGCAATGAACTGCAAGTCCCCTATCACAATCTTTTTATATTACAAAATTTATTCAAATATAAACAATTCCTGCGAGATCTTTTATAGTCTGTTACGTTTTCAGGATGGTTCAATATCTAGGTAGTTTAAACGCGGCATCTCCTCCAAAAGGGAAAGTAGTCCCTTAATCATACATATCCATTTCATGTCGTTTACAAGGTTTCGCAAGTCAGTTTTGAAACAACCCGTTTACACACATTTTTAATCGCGCTGCCTTTTAGTGCTATATAAAATTGTACCTATATCCTACTATTCAACTTTATTTTGGGGTTAAAGTACTATTGCAGTCCCCAGAACTACATCCTATGTCCTAAAACGGTTAGGAGATATTGCCAAACAAGACATCGGAAGCAAAATGATATTAGAAATTGAAGGGATAACATGTTATCTAACCTGTATTTGTGCACAAATACAGGTTAGCGTTGAGCCGTTGACAGGTATCCAACACAGAAAGCTTAATTTAAAGCTCAACAGTCTCTTTTTAAACATTTTTGGGGGGAAAGACCCATAAATCTTCCCCCCCCCCTCCACTAGCGAAGTACTGGAATACTTCATACATCTGCACACC